CAACCTTTTTCTAATGTGATACTTCAAAATGTGCTAATGTGATAGCCTTTATTTGATGGATTAGCCAACAACAAACATGCTTACATTAATCATAAACAATTTCTCATGTTATCATTATGTCCTCAAATTGTATGGTTTTACATTTCATTTTCTGTCATATACAACAAAGACAAGTTGCAAATCCACACAGGACTGATGCTAAAACCAGCAACCTTTGGCATTTTTGCTTGAAAAATGACTCATTGATTATCAAATAGTTCAACAAATGGATTATGTCAGTTCTATTTTGTTGTTGCAATATAAAATGACATGTCATGACATGTCTGCTCCTAATCCAGACGTAATCACTGAGTTAATTGTTGAGGAAACGTGGTGACATTGCAAGAAAGAAGTCAGGTGGGGAAAGAAAGATTCCCAGGTTAGCCAATAGAGCTGCAACGGTTAGTCAACACATTGCCTAATCGTCAACCATTAAATCAGACTACTACTACAAACTATTTTGATGACCCATTCATTGTTTCGTTTCCAAACTCTCAGATTCCAGCTTCTTAAATGTGAATATTTCTTCTTTCTGTAGTCCTCTATGACAGTAAACTGAATATATTTCGGGTTGTGGACAAAACAAGACATTTTGAGGACATCACCTTGGGCTTTGGGAAACTGATAAACATTTGTCACCATTTTCTGACATTTTATGGACCAAATCACTAATAGCAACTACAGTGCATGGCTAACAGTACGCGCACGCCTGAACATTACACCCATATGTGACTGCTGAACATGCAGTTCCAGACCATGGGCATCAGTCTACTGTTACAAAACATCCTCCACTCCTCCTGGAAGGCTCTCCATCAGATTTCTGAACCTGACTGCAGAGAGTTGCCCCCATTCATTAGTATTACCTCAGCATTAGTGAGATCCAGCACTGGTGTTGGGTGATAAGGCCTGGCTCGCTGTCAGTGTTCCAGTTCCCCCTAGAAGGTGTTAGGTTGAAGTCAGGACTCTGGTGAGAAGGAATGTGACAGGCCTGCACAAACTGGGAAAAGCATTTTTTATGGAGCTGGCTTTGTCGTGTTAAAACAGGAAACAAGGAACACCATTGTCCAAAATACCATTACATTTAGGACATTATGGCAGTAAGATTCCCCAGCATTGGAACTACCATGAAAAACAGCCCAGGACCAAAAGTCCCTGTATATCTTTCTACAGAGTGTACTTCTGTGATGAAGGATGGTCAAAACTATAAAAACCAGGATCTTCTTTTAAGCTCAACTGAATGTGGCTACATGTTAATTGCAAACTAGGGATGCTCGATATTGGCTTTTTTGCAGATATCCGATATTCCGATATTGTCCAACTCTCAATTTCCGATACCGATATCACCCGATACCGATATATGCAGGCTTTACACCAAAATGTTAGGAACAACATAAATCTCTATTGTGGAATTACAATTATGCCTATTTATGTATGCCCCACTGTATGCTACATAAATGCAACATGCTTCCAAATGTAAACACTGGTCTGTGCAAAAAAGAGAACAACTCAACTTTCATTGTATTAGATTTACTGAAAGGAGCGTTAAACTAATTGCTAAATGTTTGCTTGTTAGCCGACGGTTAGCAACACCAGTCTAGGTGATTGTTTTATACGTATCTAGCGCCGCCGGTAACCCAGCTGCGTTCATGCAGGCTCGGAAAATGCTGAAGCCTACAGAACAAACATCGGTTATAAAAACCCGATACCGATAATTCCCCATATTACATTTTTTTGTGAATATCGCCCGATAATATCGGAGGGCCGATATTATCGGACATCCCTATTGCAAATGTAAACATATCCTCAAGAAAAAATAAAATCTTCACTCCATTTTTCTCTCAATCTTTCCATCACTCTTTCTCTCTTTCTCTATTTTATCTCACTCTGTACTGAATTCAGCACTCCCTTCTCTCTCCCCTTTTCCTACTCATTGGACTCTACCACCACCCCCTCCCTCTCTCTCCTGTAGGATAATCCGATTACGTGAGGAATGTGTAAAAGCAGCCGTGTGTCCAGCCTCAGAGCTGCTGTCCAATAGCCAAACCTCTCCTGCTGCTGCTATGAATATGAGTTATGGGTGCACTGAAAACCTATAAATGTCTCTGGGAGAATTCACTGTCATAACAAAGAGATACTCTGAAAAAGAAGTTTTGGGATGAATCTCGTCCATCACGTGGCAGCGAGCAGCGGCCTCACCTGTTGTTGGTTGAGCGTAGATACCTGTGAGAGTGAATTATGATCAGATCTGGTATTGGGACATGTTTTGATGGAGATATAAGAGGTTTGTTGCGTCAGCACAGATACCTGGCTGAGAGTAGCAGGAACATCTAGTCCCTGCCAACGAGACTAATCCCGAACCTGAGTCCAGTAGATTAGCACTGCTGGGAAATTTAGCACATGGGTCAAATCAGTACTCCTCCTGTGCTTCCAACCTAAATGCTGGTGAGATGCTTGAATATGATTATGTGAAGACCATGAGCACTGACCGGCTTTGGCCCAGGGGCCAAATACAAGAGCTTAAAGGACTTAGTAAAGATTTTCCGTCACACAATCTCGGAACCTATCGGCTATTGTCTGATGACCATTTAGAATCTAGGCACAATGGCCAGTGTATCGGGGCTCTAGTGTAGGCCGATTCCTCTACTGTCCGATTAGTGGCTTTATACTGGAGAATGATGAGACACATTTTGGCTAATCTATATGAATATAGACACATTTTTAAAAACGTTAATAGAAAGCTACATCTTTCTTAGTTTCGAGATTGCATTTTTATTTATTGAATAACTGTTTGGTCTTCACCTGACTCCAAATGGGTTGTTTACACAGAACCATCTGGGAAGTTGTCACAGGAAACTGTTGGGAAAAGGGCAGGCTACTTCTAAAAATACTTCATCAACATAATCCAAGTTCAACCAGTCAGATCCACACACCATAAACGCTGTCAAACTCTTACAGAAGTCTGTCGGGAGAAGAGCCTTCAGTCGTTCATTGCTCTTCTTTCAAGAAATACTCTCCAGATCTGATATAGCTTATGCTGGCAGCATCTACGCTAACCTCTTCAGCAACCACAATGCTTGTTTTTAAGCAAACAGTTACTTTCCACACACATCATCACACACCCCCGAGCATTAAATCACATCCATATCTCATGCTGTATCTGTAGGTAGTTCCTCACAGGACACTGATTGGTCTGAGCCACTGTGGCTGGACACAAGTGCATAGCTTAAAGGATTCTCTCATGAGTTCAGTGCAGTTCAGCTGCCTAGCAAGGCCAGTTTGGCCTGTAAAATGACATACTTGTAGGGAAATATTTACATAAACATTTCCCAGAGCCCATGGTGATTTCTTTACATGTCTTGTTTTGTCCGACCAGCAGTCCACAATTTTGCAGTAAAATGTTGGCCCTTATGTTTGAGCAAGCATCCCCCAGCTGCAGTGGCCTTGAGCAAGACACTGAACCAGCCCTAGATTCTCTTTGGGGGCTTCAGGGAGCAATGAAATACCACAACAACACCACTCAGTCAGTTTTTTCCTGAGTCACAGAGGTTAAATAAGTCAAAATAAACGCATCATCATTAACTCCACTTGCCCCCTTCAATCTGCAGCTGTTTCACAGTATGATGTCATCACCTTTGATATGATCAGATGTTGACAGTAAGCTTGAGTTGCACCGAAGCAGCCCAGGACCCTCCGTTTGAGAGGGGGGCTTTGTTATCTGAGTGGCTTTTCATTGCTGTGCAGAGCGTGGCCGCTCCGAGTCACGCTTATGGACTCAGTGTGATACCATCCGTATCACAACGGGCTCTCACATATGAGGGTGTGAACATGTATGGGAATAAGTCAGTCTTGATATATTTGTTTGATACTATTGTTTTACGGGAAGCTGGGTTTTCCACCAGGAGCTGTACTTCTGCCTTCAGGTGGGTTGCCAGGTTGGACCCTGCCCATCAGCCTGCTGGGTCTCTGCGCTAGAGTGGAGCACTGTTTGGCTTTACGATTGATTGACTGACTGAAAGCTCAGTTTTCCATCTCTACCTGGCTGCCCACGGATCTGTTATATAACTGTGTTTTGCTTTAGTTCAGTGTCTGTTCAATGTTGGATTACAGTGCAAATTGCTTTCAATAAAACATACAGAACATTAGGATTCATGAGCTACGCTGTCATCTCTTTCTGTTTCACTAGGGTTTGATGTACCCAATATTTTAGCACCTTGTTCTTGCTCTAGTTTCTTTCTGGTTGTTCACACAGATTTAAAGGATGATTCTGCTTTATTACAGTCATCACAGTTAACAGACTTCCTGGTACAACTTCAACCTACCTTACACAGGTGTTGACTCCAGATGTGAATTTGACTGACTGAATATGGACTGAATATCAACAAACTGAAAGCCAAGATGAATCGCAACACGACTTTTAGTGGCTTCACTTGGGCTTTTTTTTTGTCATTAAAAGGTGCACACAGATTGAACTTTTCCTTTTCTGAACCTGAAATACTGACCTATTACTTGAACATATGAAAAACATTTGGACACCATAAATTGTGAAATGAACATAAAGACGTTCTGGTGGTCAACTTTACTTTTAAAAATGCACATTTTTGCTAACTTTGAAAATGTTAGTAGAAATGTCCATTATGACTTGATTAGGACTCAAAAGACAACGTTTAGGCCTTGGACCTGATTTGAAACTTCATAATCAAGGCAAAAACAATCATGTTGTCCATCCGTCTCACCTGCGGCTTACTGTAATTGTCCAGTGAGGGATTATTACCTGTTTACCTGTATAAAGTGCTGTTTGTTTACAACCTGTGTGATCATAGGACTGCTTGTGCCCCGTCTGACTTCACTGTAGCTATTTACCCATGTTTCCAGCTGTTCATAGTTATCGCTTGCTGTTGTGTAAATTGTAACAGACGTAATAAATGTCTTCAGCATCGTGTATGTGTGTGTTTGTGCTGCAGCGATGGAGGAGCTGGTGTGTGAGCTTCGACTGTTCCTGGACCTGCTGGACAGGGAGTATCTGAGCGCCGGGGTTCGAGAGAGGAAGCTGCACCTCTCCAACATCCTCCACAGAGTCCTCTCAGACAAAGGTGAGATTAGGAGCACTGGACCACAGGCTTTTTTTTATCTGGTGGTGGCAGGTACAGAGTTGGATACTTGAGATTACCAGTGCGCAGGGATATGTTGCAGCCCTTGACTTACATACCTTCAGAACTGTCACATGCAGACAGGGTGAAGCAGTTTGGGCGGTTAGTGTAGATGCAACTGCAATACCTGCTGCTAAGAAAACATAGCACCGCAAATGAAATGTCATTGACCTCTGCTGTTTTGGAGTAAAGGCAAAATCTCAGAGAAGACATCTCAACACCCAGCCAACTAAAACTAAAACTACTAGAGCTGCAATGATTTTGACTAATCGTTCACATTTTAAGTGAAAAAACCAAAGCTTCTCTTGTTTTAGCTTCTTAAATGTGATATTTTGCTACTCTTCTGTCATATGTGATAGTAATATGAATATCTTTGGTTTTTGGACTGATAGTCGGCTAAAACAAGGAATTTGAAGACATCACACTGGACTCTGGTAAATTATAATTTTACAGTATTTTATGACATTTTTAGACTAAATTATTAATCAGTTAATCAAGCAAACAATCAGCAAATTCACTGATGATGAAAATAATCTTTTAGAAAGCAGTTGGTAAACGTGAACTGCTGATTGTTCTAAGAAAAGCACTATAGTCTTGTTCAGGTAAAGTCTCAGCTCTCTTTTTGCCATTTATACTGCTGTTAAAATTCCTTTCAAGGTTAAAGAAAGTTCTCCTGGAGATATTTAGCTGCAGTTGACGGATCCATACTATAAATACTGTAATTGGCTGAAACTGTTTAAATCAACTGAATATGATTGTGAATATGAATGTCTTTTTCTGCTTTCCCTCTTCTTTTTATTTGTTTAAAATTTGGAAGTCGATGGATGCCAATATTTATCAAATTGAAACATGATTTCCTTAGAACTGAGTTAAAATTGTGACTTAATACAAATGGAAAAGGTCAGTTTATAATTTCATGGTGGTAATTTCAGTGTCTGAAATTTAAATAAGGTCAATTTATTGATTATTTGTATTATGGAAAGGTTATGTGTCAAAAGAATTTGTATTTTCATTTTGATTTTGTTTTTGAGTTCATTTGCGTTTTCTGGACTGGACCCTTACTGGATTTGCCATACTTTATCTACACACAAATGAAAAATGTATAAATTGATATAAAAATCTCTCATTGGGACCTACTGAAGAGAGCAGTTCCCTTTTTAATGTTAAAAGAGGCAAAATGAATCCTAAATTGAAATTTAAAATATGTTATATTTCCAACTTTCTCCTCACTGTATATGTACAGTATAGTGAAAAACTTTCTCTCAATTTCTGTCTCTTACTCCTCTTTCCTAGAGCCTTCATTCAAGTCAGAGATCCACAGTGGTCTGCCGGCCCCGCCTCAGATGCCCCTCCCGGAGATCCCTCACCCCTGGCTGGTAAGACTTCACAGTCGACACGTCCAACATTTTGTCCCACAGGGAACTGGAAAATCTGGAAACCTGACCATGTTAATGGCATAATCCATCATGCTCAGTTTCAGATGTCTGCTTTTCTGTTGTTTTGTAGGATGTGTTATGAGTTGTGCATGTTGGGCTTCAGAATGTGCTTTGGAATTCTGACTGAACAAACACTAATCCACTCAGTGTCACTTCGTTTCCAGAGCTGTGTCTTGTCTTTTTCATAATTCTGGCTCAGCCAAGCTGCTGTGGTGCCAAAAATTCTGACAACTCTCAGTTGAACAACCTAAAATGTACTCATTGTCATGGCAACGCTGACAAATCAAATCTGATTTAAGCAATGTAATGCAATTGACTCGCAGGTCATATGGGTCAGGGTGTGATATTCTCATGGCTTCATTTGGAAAACATCAGATGTAACACATAGAAAGGATGAACGAGAATTTGTAACCAAAGTTTAAAGCATGTAGTATAAAATATTCTTGACTCAAGGTCTACTTACTCGCTTTTTCCAGAACTTTCAACCACCAAATGAAGACTATAACCCAGAGTACTTGACATAGGCTGGGTTGGGGGATCATTTTAGGTCTTAAGTCCCGTCTAAGTGTGTTTACATATTTTCCTATGTGGAAAATTAGGAAAGACAGACAGGAATAAGCACAGCTGGCCAAGAGAAGAAGTAATGTAGAACCATTACAATTTGTCATAGTTTCACATCATACAAAACCAGAAGGTCTCAAACATTACATTTTCAAACTAGAGATGTCCCCAGTACCACTTCTGATGCTCAGTGGATCTGATCTGGTACTAATGATGTGGTGAGTGACATCAGCAACTTATTGGGTCAAAAATGAGTCACTGCAGCAAATCAATTAAAATCAAGTCAAAGTATGTGTGTGACAGGATCAGCTGCACCGTCCAAGATCTTTGCTGAAATAAGGGCAGTCTAAAATTGGATGAAGTAATGGTTAAATCATGCAGAGGTTTTCACAGTCTCAGACTGTGGGGTTCCCCTTAGACAAAGCTTGGAAAAAATAGTTTACTTTCTTAGTTTTGCTCAATTCCTGTATGCCTATGGGATCATGATTATGTTCTTTCATCCCAAAGGTGGGTAATATGTGCTGTTTGGCATACTTCAGACTCCACCAAATACATAAGAAAGGGTATTCTCTGAGGCTGAACTTTCTCTTTTACTCTCTAGTTTGCCTCTCAGTGTGAAAACCCCTGGGTTAATGAAATCGGGGGATTGTACCAATCTTAGCAAGCATTTCGTGCTAGCCTTCAGTACTTCAGACTGTTTTGGATCTTGGTGATGCAGACACAATTCGATCGATACCAAATAAAGTGTCGCAGTTCCATACCCAGCCCCAAAATGGAATAGTATGTATAAGACATCTGCCAAAGGTCAAAGGTCAAATTAAAGCACACCTCAGAATGACTGTCAGATTCAGTAATACAGTGGGACTTGGAAGCCATGTGTGATGTGTTTGAGGGTGTTTTTACAGCCTCTTGTTAAGCAGTAGGAAGGCTAGTCATGGCTTCAATGTGTTTTCCTGTCTCGCACAGTGCCTTGCATCACCCTGACAGTCACTGAGAACTGCAACATCTCTATTATGCCAATTGTGTGTGTTTGTGTGTGTAAGTGATATAGTGGGAGTGATATGAGGAGCATGCATGTGGAAAGAGAACCCAGCATGAGGAATAACAGGGAGAGTGTGTGTGTCGTTAGTGTCGGAGCAGATGCCTCTGATGGAAAGCAGGTGGCTGTGATGGCTCGCAAAGCCTTCTCACCATAACAATAAGCCACAACACCTTGTTCTACATCCTCACACACACACACACATACACTACACACATGAAAACACACAGGCACAAGGCCTTACAGTGCAGTTTGTAATTAGAACCAGTCCACAGCCTCAGCCTCCTCCGGTGACCCCAGTGTGTGTCTGGAAATCACAGCCGAGGTTTTCCCGGAAAACTAGACGAGAGAGGAGAGAGGCGGAGTGATTTCTCTCGACTTTTTGTCTCCCTTACAGTCTTTTGAACTTTTGGATATCAGATCTGTTACCATGGGAGTTTAGCTAATTTTGTCAGCTCAAGTGTTAGAACAGAGTCAATCACTGCGTTTTCTGACTTTTCCCTTATACCCTCGCGGTTAAATTCCCAAGCCGATTCCTGTAGGAACGCCAGCCATGCAACACACAGGCTGAGGTGGACAAGACACAGGAAGGAATGATTGGATTTTGATCACCTCTAATAGCTGATACGATACATTAAAATATGTCTGAATCACCACCGGTACCAATACTTATAATAATATCATAATAATATAAAATATAGGCTATATTTAAAAATAAATCTACAAGTAACAAATGTGCAGGATGTGCAGAATAACAGCAGTAAAGTATAATTTTCATAAATATACTTGGACAGAAACCCAGCTACTGTCTTTTATTTTCTTCCAGCTCGCTGTCTCTCTGTCGCTGTCTCTCTGCTTCGAAATTACCATTCATCACATTTCCACACTGACCTCTGGATAAGCTGTCCAGGCAGAGAGAAAAAAAATCTGTTATGCACCCTGTCTCTCCACTCTCCATTCCTTTAAGTTGTATAAATTTCAGCCTGCGGGGAATGGACAAAAAGACAGATGAGTAAAAGGAAGAGAGAGAGTGGGAGGAGAGTGCAAGAGAAAAAGAAGTAAACAGGGTAGGGAGTTAGAGAAACAAAGAGGAACAAGATTTAGTGCAGATGAAACACTCTTTTGTAAACAGCACTGTTTAGGCAGGTTATAATGCATCAAATGCAGAATAAAATATTTTATAAAGCATCAGTCGTGTGTTACTGTTGGTGAGTAAGTGAAATAAATAGACAAGAGAGGTCTGGTGGAAGAATGGAAGAGTACGGAGGAGGAAGAGACGGCCTTGGCCACGGTCTGTCTGTGACCCGTCAAGGTTCGGTGCCGAGCCAAACCAACACTCTGTGCAAGACTGAGAGCCTGCGGCTTTAGGAGCTACATCAATGCTCTGTCAACCCCAAAGCCTATGGCAGCCATTTTGATTACTCACTGTTATATAAGGAATAATTAGTTAGAGTAGTCTTGCGGATTTACAGTGCAGTTGTTAATGTTTAGTGTTGTGACAGTGGCATTGCACTAATCGTAAATTACTAATTGGACAGAATTGACGTTGTCATTTACTCAGTGTGTTGCTTGTGTATTATAGAGGAAGTAATCAAATTATATGGACCTCCATGATGTGTTTACTCAGTGTGGTGTCTCACACACCCCTTTGTAAGGACAACATTTAAATGTGTGCTGCATAATATTGAGAAAATGAACATTAGCATTAACAATTCCTTCCCTTGCAAAATAGGTGGATATTAAAGCAGAAGTGTAGTCTCTGACTCTGGGAAAGTGGGGAAATTTTCATAATCCCAGCTAAATAAAAACATTTCAGCTTTGTTAGCCATTCTAAAATCACTGTGAAGTAACGCATGCAGTGATGTGTTGCTAATATTTGGTCTTGATAGCAGTGCAGACATGCTAAATTCACTTCACAAGTTTAGGAGTAGCCTGCTAACATGCATTGCTTTCACGTGTTTTCAAATGGGAAAGAAATAGCCTGTTTCATACACAGTCAAATTCAAAACTTATTTTTTATTTACAGCTAAAACAATTAAACACAGCTATGCCTGTTGTTCAAGCATTTACATTATTGCAGAACATCCTTTATAGTATTGCCTCAGAACGGGCAGTGTATCTAATAGCGGGGCATGAGAGTCACATGTGTGACCCTCGTTAGCCTCAGCATTAGCAAAAAAGAAACAAAGAGATGATGTGTATGAACTACTATGTAGCTGAGCGCAGACACTAGTTTCCCATGGGCAGACTGGTTATTGACTCTCACACACACGCACACATACACACAAACACTAATGTCATTTGGGATCAGGAGACCCGGCAGGATATCCACTAATCAAATAGACAGCCATAGGGCCCTATTTTAGTTTTATCAAGCTCAGACTGGTCTGCTTTGAACCACCCGGTAGCCTTCCCCTAAGTGTGTGTGTGTGTGTGTGTGTGTGTGTGTTTGAAGAGGGTCATTAAGAAGTCACTGCAAAACAAAATTGAAATTTAATGGACAGAAGACCAGAAAAAAGATAAGCGCAAGTCTTGACTACAAACAATCTATATCTACTACTATTATTTTACTTTATTTTTTGAAATTGCAACGCCTGTTTATAGTAGCCAAAAGACAAGGTTGGTAAATGTGATATTTAAAGGTTTTAGCTTTAGACATCCCTAAAGTCTGTTTTTCAGTCAAATACTGTCGGGTTCTCTTGTGAAGCTCTTGAAGTGGTCAGATTTGGGAGCATACATTTTGGGGCAGGTATTACTACCTTTCTTAAATATAATATAAGTTTCCATTTCTATTATATAAAAGTTGGAGGGCACTTCTTATCTTTAACTTGTTTTACTGTTTTTTCTCTTATACAGTGTTTATATTATATTATATTCTTTTTTCATACTCTTACTGTTTTTTATACTGTCTTTATACTATTTTCTTATATATAGTATATCCACTTTGCTGTTATAATATTGGAATTTCCCCATTGTGGGACTATTAAAGGAATATCTTATCTTATCTTAAGAAATGGTATTTCCTTTGTGGCAACATGTGACATTAGCCAGCAGAAAACTGTATGAATTTTTTCATTATTGAGTAATCTGTTCATTTGTTCTTCCTGGAACTGTCATACTCAAAGCCCCTCATGCTGTGTGTATGTGTGTGTGCAAGAACTGAAATAGCAAAAAACGGTGGGTTTGCTCAGACACACATACACTCGCAGAGAAGCAGGATCTTTTCAAGTCAGTTTGATCCTCTCCACACCCCTTACCTCATAAATCACTCGAGTGATCTAAAGAAGAGAATCACCGCACCGTTTTACAATGTGTTACATGCCACACTCGAACTCACATG